TAGATCAAAATTAAAGGATGGAACACAACATTTCATGCATCATGGCCTGGAAAACAAGCAGGGGTAGCAATTCTGATATCAGACTTCGTAAACTTCAAGCTAAAATGATTAGAAGAGACAAAAAAGATCACTACACACTAGTTAAGAAAATGATCCAACAAGAAGAGATAACATTGATAAACGTATGTGCACCAAATACTGGAGCACTTATATTCATAAAACAAAAACTTCTGAAATTGAAAGATCAAATAAAAACTAACACAATCATAGTAACGAATTTTCACACCCCACTTTTGCAAAGAGATAGATCAACTAAACAAAGAACAGCAAAGAACTTTCAGAGCTGAACCAGACCCTTGAACATATGGTCTTAGTGTATATATAGAGAATATTCCAACCCTCTAAAACAGAGTATATATTCTTTTCAGCAACACATAGTACTTTTTCTGAAATAGATCACATATTAATCCATAAAGCATGCTTAAGTAAATATAAAATAACAGAAATTACCGCATACTAGCAGACTACTATGCAATGAAAATAGAAAATCAACCACATAAGAAAATTTGAAACAGACAAAAGAAAATTAACAAAATACTCTTAAATAAACAATGAATCACAGAAGAAATTCAAAATTTGCTGGAAGTTAATGTTAATGATAGTACAACTCATCAAAAACTTTGGAAGATTATGGCACAAGATCCTAATAATGAATGTAACTGTACTGTATACCTAAAATGTAACAATAAACTCAATTTAAAAAAACTTTGGGACACTATGAAAGCAGTTCAAAGTGGAAAATTCATCACAACCAATGCTCACATAAGCAACACAGAGCCAGATCAAATAGATAACCTTATGAGAAATCTTAAAATACTTGAGAAAAAACAACAAAATATCTCCAGGTCAAAATTCATGAGGAAACTTATAAACATGAGAGCAGAAATCAATTAAATTGACACACACACGCACACACACACACACACACACACACACACACAGACAGTAAAAACACAATGAACCAAACAGCTCGTTCTTTGAGAGAATAAATAAAACAGATAAGCACCTAGGCATACTTAACAAGAGAAAGAGAGAAATCTCAAATCAATGCAGTTGGAAATTAAAAACATAGGCCAGGGATTTAGCTCAGTAGTTCTGCCACCTGCCTCACAAGTCAAGGTCCCAAGTTTAATCGCCCATACCAAAAAATAAATAAAATAAAATAAAATCACAACAGGTCCTGTAGAAATCTAGAAGATAACTCCTTCAAAAAATATATTACAGCAAATCAGTAAATTTTGAAGAAGTGAACAGATTCCTAGGCACATGTTAAATACCCAAACTAACCCAAGAAGGCATAAATATGCTTAACAACTCAATAATGAGCAATGAAATTGACACAGTAATAAAGAATCTATCAGGGCCAGGGATTAAGCTTAGTGGCCCTGTACCTGCCTTGCAAACATAAGGTTCTGAGTTGAAGCCCCAGTACAAAAAAAAAGAAAGAAAGAAAAAGAATTTACCAACTAAAAAGCCTAGAACTTGATGGATTCACTGCTGAATTTCTTTTTTTTTATTATTAATTGAGTTTACTGGTACATTTAAGGTATGCAGTACAATTATGTTCATTATTGGGATCTTGTACCTTTACATGACAGGTTCACAGCTGAATTTCAAAAACAAAATTTAAGGATGTTTTTTCACCAATATTCTTCAAGCCCTTCAAAGAAATCAAAAGGGATGGAGTGCTCACAAATTCATTTATGGAATACAGTATCATTTTGATCTCAAAATCAGATAAAGGCCCAACTAAAAAGGTAAACTATAGGCTAATCTCCTTAATGAACTTATATGAAAAGACCTTAACAAGATATTAGCAATTTGAATGTAGCATATTAGCAAAATTTGGTACATCATGATCAAATAGGTTTCATCCCAGAGATGCAAGGATAAAGGTTCAGCATGCATAAATCAATAAATGTAATGCATCAAATAAACAGATACAAGGTAAAAAACCCTACTACCATATCAATAGATAAAGAAAAGACTGTTGACAAAATCCAACAACACTTCAGGACAAAAACACTGAAGAAAACAGGTATGGAAGGACCATACTGGAATATGATAAAAGCCATGTATGACAGAGCAATAGCCAGAGTCATAATAAAGGGGAAAAAAAAACTAAAAACATTTTTTCTTAAAATCAGGAACAAGAAAAGAATCTTCATTATCACCACTTCTATTCAACATAGTACTGGAATTCTTCTCCAGAGCAATTACACAACAGAATAAAACAAAAGGGATACGTATAGGAAAAGAAGGTCTCAAATTATCATTATTTGAAGATTACATGATACTAGACATAGAAAACTCAAAAGAGCTCCACCAAAAATGTCTTAAAATTAATAACAAACTTCAGCAATGTAGCAGGATACAGATCAACACAGAAAAATCATTAGGATTTGTATACACCAATATTGAATGGATGATAAGTATATTATGAAAACAATACAATTCACAGTAGTTTCAGGAAAAATAAAATACCTAGGAATTAATCTAACAAAAGGAATGAAACACCGCTAAAAAACTACAGAACTCTGAAAGAGGAGATTGAAGAGGACATCAGAACATGGAAGAATGGATTAAGGATCTCTACAGGAAGCCATTTTATTTTTCAGGACTCTTTCTAAGGATATCTGGAAGGAGTTTGCACCAAACCAGCAGCTTCAAGAATGGCAGTTTCATCTTCAGCTCCACGATGTTTCCCTTGACCAAAAGCACATTAGGTCGTCTTCCAGAACCAAATCCTGTCTGCCATTTAAAGTGCTGAGCTAGTTCATCTCAAATGCCCATTTTTGAATTGGGTCTTTATATTTGGGGGGGGCTGATTGTTTTGAGTTCTTTATATATTCTAGATAATAGTCCTTTGTATGAGGAGAACGTAGTAAAAATTTTTCCCACATTGTAGGTTGTCTCTTAGTTCTGTTGATGGTTTCTTTTGCAGTGCAGAAGATTTTTAATAAGATGAGATCCCAGTTGTTGATTCTTTCTGCTAGTTCCTGTGCTACTGAGGATTTGGTCATAAAGTCTTTTCCTATGCCAATGTCTTCAAGAGTTCTGCCTGACTTATCTTCCAGCAAGTTTAGTGTTTTCTGTTTTAATATTTAGATCTTTAATCCACTTGGATTTTAATTTAGTGCATGGTGAAAGATAAGGGGCTGGTTTTAATCTTTCACAGGTTGAGATCCAGTTTTTCCAACACCATTTATTAAAGAGGCCATCCTTCCTTCATTGGGGATGGTCAGCTCCTTTGTCAAAAATGAGGTAGCTGAGTACATCCGGATTTGTTTTTGTATCTTCCAATCTGTTCCACTGATCCTCAGGTCTGTTTCTTTGCCAGTGCCATGCTGTTTTATCACAGTGGCTTTGAAGTTTCATTTCAAATTGGGAATTGTTATACCCGCTGCCATGTCTCTGTTACCTAGGATGGCTTTTGCTGTTCTAGGTCTCTTCTGGTTCCAAATGAATTTTTGGATTCTTTTTTCTAGTTCTGTGAAATATACTGTTGGAATTTCAATTGGCATTGCATTGCATCTGTATAGCAGTTATGGTAGGATGGCCATTTTCACTATGTTGATTCTTCCTACCCAGGAGCAGGGGTTATTTTTCCATTTTTTAATATCCTCTTCGATTTCTTTTTTCAAAGTGCTGTAGTTTTCAGTATAGAGGTCTTTTGCTTCTTTCATTAGATTGATTCCTAGATACTTCATTTTTTTGGATGCTATTGTGAAAGGAATTGTTTCCCTAATTTCTCTCTCAGTGAATCTGTTATTTGTGTACAAGAAGGCTATGGATTTTAGGGTGTTGACCTTGTATCCAGCTACTCTTCTAAAAGTGTCAATTAAGTCTAGAAGTCTTTTGCTAGAGTTTTTTGGGTCTTCAATGTAGAGCATCATATCATCATTTCTCAGACAAAGAAGTAAAAGCAGCAAGTATATATAAGAAAAAATGTTCCACATCACTGATCATTCGAGAGATGCAGATGAAAACAACAGTGAGATTCCACCTCACCCCACAAAGAATGGCTGCTATCAAGAAATCAACCAATGACAAATGTTGGCAGGGTTGTGGGGAGAAAGGAACCCTTCTCTATTGTTGGTGGGAGTGCAGACTGGTACAACCACTAGGGAAATCGATATGGAGATACCTCAAAGAGCTGGGACTAGAGGTTCCATTTGACCCAGCCATCCCTCTGCTGGGTATCTTTCCAAAAGCATTAAAAGAATCATACCACAGTGATATATGTGCACCCATGTTTATAGTGGCACAGTTTGTAATAGCTAAAACTTGGAAACAGCCCATTTGCCCATCAGTTGGAGATTGAATAAAGATGTGGTTTTTCAATAAAATGGAATACTACTCAGCCATAAAGAATGAGAAATTAGACTCATTCATAGGAAAGTGGATACATATTGAGGATATACTCCTAAGTGAGACAAATAAGTCACACACATGTAAATAATGAGTAGTTTCTCTGGTGTGAATAAACTGTAATAGTACATAAGATCCTAATGAGATAACTGACATTGTGAGTTGGGAAGAAAAGGGCTAAAGGTGTAGCGAAAGTGGGAAGGGTAGGGGAAAGGTAATAAGGGAAAAATAGGAGAAAATGAAAAAATGGAAATAAAGTGTTTGTAAATGTGGAGGGGAGAAGGGGGTGAAGGGAAGGTAGGGACAAGGTGAAAAATGAGAACCAAGACCACCTGTCATGTAAAGGTACAAGATCCCAATAATGAATGTAACTGTACTGTATACCTAGAATGTACCAATAAACTCAATGAGAGAAAAAAATAAAAATAAAGTTCTGAGCTAGGACCAGGGATGTAGCTCAGCAGCACAGCACCTGCCTGGCAAGCATGAGGCCCTGAGTTTGATTCCTGGTACAAAAAAAGAAAGGAAAAAAAGAAAAGAAAAAAGAAAAAAATCGAAGTATTCAACAAATGGAGAAACATACACCAGATTTCCATGACAGATACGGTAATGCTGTATTAGTTGGTGGAGCCACATTCTGTATTGCTATATGGACATATACAGCAACACAAATTGGAATAGATTGGAACCTTTCCCCTGTTGGCAGAGTCACCCCAAAGGACTGGAGAGATCAGCAATCATGCCAGCTGATGTAATAATAAATTGTTTCAAAATGAAATCATAATTGATGCCAAGTAAAAGCAGTGTGTATCCATTAAAATATGGCATTTTGAAGAAATAAAGTACAATTGAAACCTGAAAAAAAAGAAAAGAAAATGGAAGAATGTCCCCTGCTCCTGGATAGGAAGAAATGATATTGTCAAAATGACCATAAATACCAAACTGGTATACAGATTCCACACAGTCCCAATAAAAATATCAGTAGCATACTTAAAAAATCTAGAAAAGACATTCCTAAAATTCATATGGAACCAGAAGAGACTAGGAATAGCACATCAAGTTTAAGCAGCGAGAGCAGGAGGCAGAGCAGTATCTGATTTCAAGCTATACTACAAAGCAACCATGATAAAAATGGCATAATACGGAAACAAAAAATAGGTATGTGGATCAAAATAGGGGAGAAAGAGACTTCCCCAGACACATTCGGCTATTTGATATTCAACAAAGGGATCAAAATCATATGTTAGAGGAAAGATAGATCAACAAGTGGTGCTGGGAAAATTGGTTATCTGTGTTCAGAAGATTGAAACTGGACCCTTATCTCTCACCACATACTAAATTAAAATCAAAATGGATCAAAGATCCAAATCTTAAAAACATTAAATCTCCTAGAAAATAAAATAAGTACAACACTTGAAGACACAGGTGTAGGAAAGGAACTTCAATTGCACAAGATATAGCAGCAAGAATCAACAAATATGATTATATCAGACTTAAAAGCTTCTGTGCAGCAAAAGAATCAATCTGTAGAGTGAAGAGACAACCTACAGAATGGGAAAATCATTTGCCTCCTACTCCTCAGATAGAGGACTAATATCTACAGTATGTCATAAACTCAAAAAAATTAAACCACTTAAAATTAAAGACCCAATCGAGAAATGAACAAACACTTCACAGAGGAAGAAATACAAATAATCAACAAATATATGAAAAAATACTCAACATCTCTGGTGTAGAGAAATGAACATTAAAACAATGCTAAGATTTCACCTTACACCAGAAACAATAGCAATCACTAAGCAATAAAACAATAACAAATGCTGGTGAAGTTTTCATGACAAAGGAACATTTCTTCATTGTTGGTGTGAATGTAAGGTAGTACAACCATTATGAAAATCAGTATAGAGGATTTCTCAAAGAATTGAAATTAGAAATTCCATGTGACCCAGCAATCCTCATGTTAGGTATGTTCCCCAAACAGCTCAAGACATAATACTAAGCAATACATGAACGCTAATATTTATAGCAACACAATTCATAAAGCTAAATCCTGGAAACAGCCTGCATATCCATCAACAGATGATTAGATAAAGAACATGTGATATCTATCTGTAATGGAATACTACTTAGCTATAAAGAATGACACATTTGAGACATTTGTAGGAACAAAATGTTCAGTGAAATCAACCAGACACATAAGCTTAAATATTGTGTGGTATCTCTCATTTGAGTGAGCAAAATATGAGAGGGGTGGCAGAGAGAGAGAGAGAGAGACAGAGACAGAGACAGAGACAGAGAGACAGGGAACAATAAAGCATGTATAGAAGAGGACAACGAGATGTATCTCTTGCAATAGGAAGTGGTCCAAAAGAGCAATGTCAAGGGGTGAGGAGGAGGGGAAGGAGAATAAGTAGAATAAGGATATTCCATGTAAAGAAACCTAAAAACCTCAATGAGTGGAAATATTATGCACCATAACATGAGCCAAGATTAATAATACCAATAAGAATAAAAAACAGGACAGAGGAATTGGAGCATGAGGGAGGGAGAGGAGGGAAAGGGAAGGGCATTTTACAAAAAAGAAGCAGTGGCATGTGCATGTAACCACTCCCCAAGATGATTGTAAACTGTATGAACTGTAAACACGTTCTATTACAAAAAGACACTGTTAATAATAAACACTAATAAAACAATAGATGATCTAAATAAAGGAACACAAAACATGACTGACAAGTTTACCAAAAAATTAGAGTTCATGAGAACTTTTCAATGTGAAATCCAAGAGATTAAAAATCATACTGAGGAACAGGGATTTTGCTCAGTGGTTCTGCCACCTGCCTCTCAAGTGAGTTTGATTCCCAGTAGCAAAAAAAGTCATATTGAGAGTATGATCAGTAGACCTTACCAATGTGAGGACAGGATGTCAGATCTAGAATATAATGATGCCATTAAAGACCACCTACTCAAAGGCTCCTTAAAAACAGCAAGAAAGCATGAAAAATGGATTCAAGTGCTGCTACTTGATGCAAAGAAAACTATTTTATGAATAATTGGAAAGAGTGAAAAAAATCATAACACAATTGGCATAAAATATCTGTTTACAGAAAGAATGACATGAAACTTCCCTAATACAGATAAAGAAACAGAGATAAGCAAGGCTTATAGAAACTCAAATAGCTATGACCAAAAGAAAACCTCAGTGCAACATTGCCCTCAAAATTCCAGATGTTCATCACAAGAACAAAAATTTAAAAGCTGCCAGAGAAAGACAACAAATATCATAGAGAGGCAAATCAATAGGAAACATGGTGGACTTCTCCACCCAAACTTTAAAGGCCAGAAGTGCCTGGAGCGAAGTGTTCTGACACCTAAAATATAACAACTTCAAACCCCAACTTATGTATCCTAGAAAACTTTCCTTTAAAGTTGATAGACAAATAAGATATTACCATGGCCATGACAAGAGACACCTCAAGAAATTCATAACCACCAAACCAGCATTACAAAAATCTCTCAAGGATATCCTAGAAAGAGACAATGAAGCCAATATGTCAAAAATAATGAATACACCTCGCTGGAGGAGCAGCTAAGCAAAAGAGGGGAAACGAAGATTCCAGCAACAGGAAAATAATACAATGACAGAAAAAAGTCAGTACCTATCAGTAATAAATCTCCATGTGAATGTTCTCAATTCTCCAATCAATTTTAGTATATGTGCTGCCAAAGTGAGCACTCAATTCTCCAATAAAAAGACAGACTGAGAGAATGGATCAAGAAAGGAAACCCAATAATATGTAGTATACAAAAAACACATTTAATTCAAAAGGAAGCTCACAGATTAAAAATCAAAGGATGGAAAACAATGTTTAATGCCATGGGAACCCCCCAAAAAGCAGGAGTTGGTATCCTAATTTCAGATCAAGTGAATTTCAAGCTCAGACTGTTCAGAAGACATAAAGAAAATCACTATTTATTGGTTAAGAGAACGGTTCAGCAGGAACAGCTAATAATTATAAATATATATGCACCAAATACTGGCACACCAAACTTTATAAAACAAACACTAACAAATATGAGAAAAGGAAAAAATGGAAACAATATCATTTAAATAGGGGGGTGGAGGGGTTGAAAGGAAGGCAAGGGAATGGGGAAAAAAATAAGAACCAAGATACATTGTGTAAAGGTACGAATTCCCAATGATGAATGTCATCATATTGTATATCTAAAATGTACCAATAAACTTAATGAACAAAAAAAATCAGATAAACACCAATACAATTGTAATGAATGTCCTCAATATTCCTCTGTAACAAATGCACAGATAAACTAGGCAAAAAATCAACAAAGAAATATCAGAGCTGAACCAAACCTTGAAACAAATGGACTTAATAGATATTTACAGAGTGTTACACTCATCACAAAGTACACATTCTTCTCGGTAGCAAAATAGACCATAGACTAGCTCATAGAACATGCTTAAGTAAATGCAAAGGAACTGAAATTATCCCATGCATATTATCAGACCATAATGCAATTAAATTGGAAATCAGTAGCAAAAGACAGCAGAGAAAATATTTAAAAATATGACAATTAAATAGTATTCTGTTGAATAACCAGTTGGTCACAGATGAAATTAGACAGTTTCTACAATGAAACGATAATGCCAGTTTGACACACCAGAACCTATGGGACACAATGAAAGCAATCCTAAGAGGGAAGTTTATAGCAGTGAATCCCCACATTAAAAAAGAAAACACACCCAAGTAAATAACATAACGATGCACCTCAGGGTCTTAGAAAGACAAGAACAATTCAAACCTAAAGCTAGTACAAGGAAGAAAATTATAAAGATCTGAGCAGGTATTAATAAATGGAGACTAAAAAAACAATACAAAGAATCAATGAATTAAAGAGTCGGTTCTTTGTAATGCTGAACAAAATAGACAAACCCCTAGCCAATCATATTTTTAAAAGGAAAGAAAAGACCCAAATCCATGAAATTAGAAATGAAAAAGGCAAAGTCACAACAGATTCTTCTGAAATCCAGAAAATTTCTGGTAACTACTTTGAGAATCTGTACTCTGATAAAATGGAAAACTCAGAAGACATGGATAAATTCCCAGATACATACAAACTTCCAAAGCTGAACCAAAAACATATATAAAACTTTTAAATAAGCCAATATCCATCAGTGTAATTGAAGAAATAATTTTAAAAACTACCAACTAAGAAAACCCCAGGTCCCAAACAATTCACTGCCTAGTTCTCCAAGAACTTTAGAGAAGATCTAACATGAATACTCCTCAAATTCTTTAATGATATTGAAAGGGAAACAGAATTCCCAAAGTCATTCCTGGAAGCAAGCATTACCCTGATTCTATAACCAGAAAAGGACCCAACCAACAAAGAGAACCACAGACCAATCTCTTAAATGAGCATACATGCAAAAATCCTCAATAAGATACTGGCAAACCAAATGTAACAAAGCATCAAAAAGATACATCATGGCCAAATAGAACTCATTCCAGGGATACAGGGATGATTTCACAAACACAAATCAATAAATGTAATTCAACACATAAATAGAAGAAAGGACAGAAACCATATGATCATCTAAAATGGCACAGCAAATGCATTTGACAAAATTCTGCAACCATTCAGGACAATACCCCTTAAGAAAATAGGAATAAAGTGTACTTATCTTAATCTGATAAAGATCATCTATAGCAGACCAATGGCCAACATTATACTTAAC